TGTTTTCTCTGATTAAGACTCAGCTTTGGGTCCAAATGTTCATGACTCTGCTTTTTGCTGCTTCATAAAATGAACCAAATATGTGTATTTCAAGAATACGAAACCATTAAAAATTTCTGAATTTTAAGGAAAAAATTATGTTAAGCAAATATGCTAAAATACCACACTTTGAATCAAGTGACCAGTGTGTGTGTCATTTTGGAATATGAGATTATGCATAATATAATTATATGAAATCTGATCTTTATAAAGTAAGGCTGTCATATTGCCCTGAACGTTTTTCCCAGAATACATAGAAATTATTTATTAAACATGGTCTCTAACAGCTTGTGCTTTTGCATATTTATCTTTTTAAGGCTAGTTGTTCTTTCTCAATGACTAGCTTAAAAGCCTCACAAAACCTGACTATGAAGTTACTTAAACTTTAGATGATAAAATAAGAGAAGAGTAAGGTTAGACTGATAACAGCAAACTTCTTATTTTAAGGCAGGGGTTTCGCTCAGCATTTCTTGTTTATGTTCTGTTTTTGCAGCACAAATGTAGTAAAAAGTGTCTTGGCTTTGAGCCCAGGAAATCTGGATTCAAATCCAGTTTTGTGGCCCTGGGCAATTTACTTAAATTTCTGAAACCTAATTTTCCTCATCTGTTAGCAGGAATAATAATGATGACTCTGAAGGATAATTGATAACATTAGAGATAATGTTTTTTGTGAAGTGATTGACGCGTAATAGGAGCCCAATGAGTGTTAACTGTTATTCATATTGGGCTCGAATTCTTAGAGTGCCTATGGTTCTTCATCACTTTAAGACCCCATCCATGTAAGTGCAGTGAGTCCCAGATAGTTAGGCTTTATCATCTTACCCTGGCTGTGTGTTAGGTTGATTCTAGAAGTTTGGAACCCAAATTTTAATGTGCTTACTGTTACTTTGAATTATATTTTTCTTCATTGCCATTATGCAGCACAGGAATTGGCAAACTTGTTTTCTATTGAAGTTTATACTAAGGCAAGGGGAAATATTACCAAATGGATTTTTTGAAAGTTTTAGCATTTTTTTCATTGTAAGTATAATGTAACATGTTATAAGAGATTGATAAATTATAGAAAATTAGAAAGAAAAAACACTACTCTGTTTTCAGTAATGGTACCATTTAGATATAGTGATCCTTTGTTGATGTAGTTAAATTTTAGTATCAGTTCTTTTTTGCAGTTTTTTTTTTTTTTGGCCAGGGCTGGGTTTGAACCCACCACCTCTGGCATATGGGGCTGGTGCCCTACTGCTTGAGCCACAGGCGCCACCCAGTATCAGTTCTTTTAAGATAGAGAAATAAGAATTATCTTCTTAAACTGAGGATAGGAAAAGAAAAATTCATCTATGTATGAAACTTAAGATTATATTTCAGTTTTTTATTATGATGGGGAGGGAAATAGAGCAGAAAGGGAAGGAAAGATGAGTGTGGTAAGAAGAGTAATGCTGCCAGGTCCTGTGTCTTTGTCGGTTTTTGAAAGGACCATGCAGTTTAGGTTAAGAATTGGAATAGATGCTGCTAAACTTGATGAATACAATTTCTTTTCTTACTAATGGTTTCCAGCAAATGAAGTAGAGACATTTTGGATACCCTTTCTTGCAGTGTGGGAAAAGCTGTTAATTTAATTTTGTGGGAGTTGGTATATTTAATTTTATTTATTACAGGTTCTTTTTATGGAACAACATCACCATCTTGTGGCCCTCTAGAATATCGTTGCCAAAGTTACGTTTTCACAATTATACGTGTAAATTAAAATGTTCTCTGATGTCCACCAAGGGCGCCACCAATTTGTAACTGTCAGTTTTGACGACGAATGGAGGTGGGGGTAGAAAGCAAAGTAGTTTGTGCACTAATGTTGCAACTCTGTAAGAAATGTATATTTGAGGAACATAATGAAAGTAGCTGTTAGTTGGTACAATTCTGGATGATTTATTATTATGTATTTCATGTTTTCATGAAATATATAGTTTTTTCAATTATGTAATTCTAAGCTAAAAAAACTCAATGTATTCTGTGCTCCATTTCTCATTGAATAAGAAAACTGAGGCCCTGAGAAATTTATATGCACTGTCTCACTTAGCCATTCAGTATGGACTGGATGTTGTCTAAAACTGTTTTCTAAACTGGTGATTCTTAGAGTATTTTGTGTATGTATTTTTAAACTTTTTTTTCCATTTTGAGGTTTTTTTTTTTTTTTTTTAGATAAGTTATCCTTTATCATCCAGGCTAGAGTGGAGTGGTCTGATCATAGTTTATTGTAACCTTGAGTTCTTGGGCTCAAGTGATGCTCCTGCTTCAGCCTCATGAGTAACTAGGATTACAGGTGCATGCCACTGGGCCTGGCTGAGTTTTAAAAATTTTTTTGGTAGGGATAGTGTCCCAATATGTTGCCCAGGCTGATCACAAACTCTTGGCCTCAAGCAGTCCTGCCTTAGCCTCCTACAGTGCTGGGATTACAGGTGAGAACCACACAATACTGGACCCCGAGGATAATTTTAAAGGAAAAAAAAAGGTGTAAAGTATGATTCATTTTTAAAAGCATGCAAATAAATAAGGCTGTTTGGTTCCTCTGTTTCGTTGACAGTTAAGACTCCTTTGTTAGCAAATATGTATTAAACACCTCCTCTGTGCCAGGCTTTGAGGTAGCAAGATGAGTATGATGGTGAGGATTTGTCCTGGCACCCTAGAAATTTAGTCTAGAATTCAGTGAGAGAAAGTTGCCTGAACCACAAAACCATTGGTGATTGGGGATTCTGGATACAAGTAACTATAATTGATTTTGTGTCAGATACCATTGTAGGTACGTTAGGTACTTTTTCTCAGTCTCATGTTTATTTTAGAATTTTGCTTTGATTTTGCAGAAACAATGTGTATGCACACAAATAAGTATTTGTGGAAGCCTGGACATACCTTTGTGGAGTGATAGCTTTCTTTATAAAGTATTAGTGTTTGGGCTATTATGTGTCTAGTAGGCTTTTGTGGCTTGGATTTGGTATCTTACCACCATTTGCAACTTTGTTTCTTTGTGAAAATTTGTACTGTGTCCCAAGATACCTTTCCTTCAATCTGTCAGAGTTCAATTGATATATAATTTGGAGGTTAGCATGCTACTTCTGGCATACTACTTTTTTTTTTATTGTTTGAGATTCATTGAGGGTACAAAGAATTAATTACACTGATTGCATTTGTTAGGTAAAGTCCCTCTTATAATTGTGTACTGCCCCCAAGAGATGTGCCATATACCAAGATCCCCCAACCCCTTTGGCATACTACTTTTGAAGTGTTTTGAACATTTTATTTATCTTTTTTTTTTTGGGAGACAGCGTCTCATTATGTTGGTAGAGTGCTGTGGCATCACAGCTCACAGCAATCTCAAATTCTTGGGCTGGAGTGATTCTCTTGCCTCAGCCTCAGTAGCTGGGACTATAGGTGCCAGCCACAACGCCCTGCTGTTTTTTGGTTGTAGTTGTCATTGTTGCTTGGTAGGCCTGGACTAGATTTGAACCTGCCAGTTCTAGTGTATGTGGCTGGCGCCCGAGCTGCTGAGCTACAGGTGCCAAGCCTGTTTTGAATATTTAGTTAGAGCCTAGGGGTAGGTATCCAACTGTAATGAGCTTTTTTCTTATTTATATACTTTTGTCTTTCTGAGTATTTAAGAAGTCACATTAGCATTTTAGGTCCTTTACTTTTGTATTGGACTTGCTTGTGAGTGTTTTGGGCTGTGGAGATGAAACACTGGTTAGGTGAACATGGACTTGGAGCTCAGAATTAGCAGGGCAATGATGGGGTGTTTAGTGCTGATGTTTGTGGTGGTGGATATCAAAAAGTATGCATGGATCTTTTTTCTTTCTGCTAATTTTTATTCATGCTTGTATATTTACTGTGTGGCCCGAGACAACTCTTGTTCTTCCAGTGTGTAGCAGAGAAAAAAAAAAGGGTTAGAAACCTCTGCTACTTGCATAGTGTTTATAATTGGATTTAAAAATTTAGATCTGTCTATATATAGAATTTTGTTTATTAGTTTGTTTTGTGTAGCTACCCTAATCATTCTACCCCAACCATTAGGCTAGGGTTAGAATTACAAAGCTGAGTACTGGCTAGGTGCCTGTGGCTCAAGTGGCTAAGGTGCCAGCCACATACACCTAAGGTGGCAGGTTCAAATCCAGCCTGGACCTGCCAAACAACAATGATTGCTGCGACAAAAGAATAGCCAGGCGTTGTGGTGGGCGCCTGTGGTCCCAGCTACTTGGGAGGCTGAGGCAGGAGACTCGCTTGAACCCAGGAGTTGGAAGTTGCTGTGAGCCGTGATGCCACAGCGCTCTACCCAGGGGGACAGCTTGAGGCTCCCTCTCAAAAAAAAAACAAAAAAAAAAAACAAAGCTGAGTACTAATCAAAGTTCACAGTGTACTAGGGGAAGAGAGAGAACAGGACATGGCTACAGTGCTGTGATGACACAGCACCTAGTTCAGAATTGAAGAGATTACACCTGAGCTGGATCTTGAAATGTAATTAGAAATTAGGTAGAGGAGAGGTGGGATCAGCATTCTATTGTATCCAAATCTATGCATGAGAATCACCTGGACCACCCATCCTGGTCTCCAGAAGGATACTCCTTTGTAGGCAAATTGGCAGTGCATTTGAAGTATGTGTGAATCGTGAGCCTGGGGTAAAGAGCTTGCCTGCAGAATCGTCTGATTTTTTCTGTCTGAATTTTAATGAAGGTTGAGAATATGTGTGTGTTGTTGGTGTGTGTGTGTGTGTAAGTCATGCAATTGAATAATCAGAACTAGTTTGATGGTTGTTGGGTTGTGCCCCTTTCTCTTCTGGACCCTGAGCTCTAAAAACCTCTCACCAGTGTCATTGCCTCTGAGCCTCCGCGCGCGTGCGCGCGTGTGTGTGTGTGTGTGTGTGTGTGTGTAGCTTGGTGCTACTACTCAGCAGGGCCCAAGTTTCTTCTCTGTTTTCCTCACAGGTCTTACCTTAACTTCATCCTTGTTAAAACCAGGAATTTTGTGTTTTCACTGACCATTGTCTTTCCAGTGCCTCAGAGTGCCTGTTAACTTCACTGAGGAAATGGGAGCCATTAGGTAAAACCTCCTTAATTTCCTTTTTAAATATTTTCAGACACCTGAACTCACTACTATGCTCTACTTCAGTGTATTTCAACCTTTTTTGTCTCACAGCACACTTGAACCTATAATTAAACTTGCGACAGAAATTATGTTGTTCAAAAGAAAGAATATGCTTACTGTGCTTTGAACTTCTTTCGAAAATAATTAATGTCTTTAAAAATTTTCGTGGCACACCTAAGATCCTCTCAACCGTGGCATACTAGCTGAAAATCACTGCTCCTCTGTGCTCCTAGGAAGAGCTGTTCCTGTTTGTATCTGTTTTTATTTTTTTTTATTTTTTTTTTTTTTGAGACAGAGCCTCAAGCTGTCCCCCTGGGTAGAGTGCCATGGCATTACAGCTCATAGCAACCTCCAACTCCTGGGCTCAAGCGAGTCTCCTGCCTCCGCCTCCCAAGTAGCTGGGACCACAGGCGCCCGCCACAACGCCCGGCTATTTTTTGGTTGCAGCCGTCATTGTTGTTTGGCGGGTCCGGGCTGGGGATTCCAACCCGCCACCTTAGGTGTACGTGGCTGGCGCCTTAGCTGGTTGAGCTATAGGCGCCGAGCCTTGTATCTGTTTTTAATCTCAGCCAATCCTGCTTTCTCATGTCCAGGTCTCCCCTATCTTTAAAAACAATCCTCTCAACACCTCCTTTTAAGCTTTCTCTTTTCCTTTACAGTCAGAGTAGGTTACTGGCTGTTGATTTACTTTTTAAATCACAGACTTCATGGACCTTCCACTCCGTTAACATTGCTTTTGCCAAGGGCCGGGTAACTTCCGTATTGTCTAATAAACAATGTTCTCTCTCTCCTTTTCTTTGAATTAATTTTTTCTTTTCACTGCTCTTACTGGGGTTCTTTGTTTCTTTTATGTTTTTCTGTTCTAGCTTTATTAATTTACCTGATTTTTTTTTTTTAAACTGGAGTTCTTGATGAGTTTGACCACTATTCCTCTTTCTTGAAATTTCCTTGTGGTTTTCCTCACCCGTTTTCATAGTCCTCGGCCGCTGCTCAACCCTTCAGTCTTTGCCTGAGTCCTGTCTGTCCTGCTGACTGCCTGCAGTGGGCGTTTCCTGGGTGATTGAACGTACAGAGGACTTGTACCAGCAGGGTTGGCTTTCAGTTAACTCTTGAACTCTGCTTATGGGATGTCATCAACACCTCGACCTCTAGTGTGTGTCTTTTTCTGAACTCTGTCTCTGTCAGTAATTATTTATTGGGGGCCTTTCCCTATCTAGGCTCTGTAAGAATAGAATGGTGAGTAAGATGGAATCCCTGTCCTTAAAGATCTTATTTTGGGAGAGGGGATGGGAATAGAATAGAAGTGAGAAGACAAAGTGTATGAACATAATTACTAATACAGAGACTTATTGGGGAAGCTAAAATAGGGCAGGCCAGGTGGTAGAGTTGGAGGAGTGAGGGTCTTGCTTTGCCCAGACCGATCAGAAATTCCTTCTGAAAAGATCATACTTAAGTCGGGTCCTAGGACCGAGAAAGCAGCCAAGGAACGGATGGAGCTGTGAATGTAGAGGCTCCTGGGTAGTTCACAAGGTAATTGGGTTGAGGAATGGCAAGTATGCCAGTGGAATGGTACTCAAGGGGGAAAAGCAAGGGAGAGGAGCCAGAGAAGTGGGGGCAACAGGTCACATAAAGCTGTGCACAAGTTGGGATTTAATTGTAGTTAAAATGGAGGACATTGCAGTGTGAAATTGTGATGTGTCCTGTTTTTGGAAGGATCGCTCTGCTAGATTGAGGCTAGATACAGGGTGGGAGTGAAGAGTGGACTGGGGAGACCATTTAGCAAGCTGCACTTTTAGTTTAGATGAGAAATGATGGGCCCTGCAGATGACAGTTGTGGAGATGGTGAGCAGTTATTGGCTCAGCCAGACCTCTGGGAGTCCTCTTAAATGTCTTCCCCTCTTTTGCCCCTGCATCTGATTCATATACCAGTTACTACAGATTCTGCTCCTTATGCTTGTTTCCTCTCTATTCTCCTTGGTCTCAAGCCATTTGCTGCCTAGCCCACTTTCAGGCTACCCTCATAGCACGGCCAGAAGGGTTTTTCCAAATAAAAGGCATGTTCCCTCCTTGCTGAAAATTTGCTGGCTTTGTTTGGCTTCCTTAGTGCTCTTAATGATATGGCATCTTTCTGCCTTAATGGTTTCATCTCTTACATTTCTTTCTCTATACTGGGGATGGAGAAACCTTTCATGTTAGAAGGCCACAGTAATTTAGCAGTAATCAAAAAAGGCCGCATTTCTTTTTCTTTCTTTTGCAGTTTTTGGCAGGGGCTGGGTTTGAACCCACCACCTCCGGCATATGGGGCCTGCACCCTACTCCTTTGAGCCACAGGTGCCGCCCCCAGGCCACGTTTCTTGAATTAGATATACTTAATATCTTAATATACTTAACTTTTTTTTTTTTTTTTTTGTAGAGACAGAGTCTCACTTTTTCGCCCTCGGTAGAGTGCAGCGGAGTCGCTCCAGCAACCTCCAACTCCTGGGCTTAGGCGATTCTTCTGCCTCAGCCTCCCAAGTAGCTGGGACTACAGGCGCCCGCCACAACGCCCGGCTATTTTTTGTTGCAGTTTGGCCGGGGCTGAGGTTTGAACCCACCACCCTCGGTATATGGGGCCGGCGCCTTACTCACTGAGCCACAGGCGCCTCCCAATATACTTAACTTTAATTGAATATACTTAAATATATTATTTTGTAAAACTCTACACTTAATTATTTAGAAAAGAAAACTCTTAATTTTCAAGTTAACCTTTTATGGACTTGGTTGTGTCTGCTTTTGGTTGGAAAGCATTTAACTGTTTGGCTGCAGCCTGGCGGTCTGCAGTTTCAGTTGATCGTCTAGACGGGTATCAGTCATTTGTGACTTTAAGGGCATCTTGATTTCAGTTAGGTAGGAGAATGCAGATCATAGCAAAGACAATCTTCTGTTACGACCCAAATGAAGTATCAAACCTGCGCTAAGTCAGGGTGTTAGTTGATTCATCCAAAGCAGTTGGTCAGACAATTAGCTTGTCCTAAAAAAGGTGCTGCAAACCTCATTGCTGAATATCACCAAGGTGACCTCTGAGGTACCCCCTTTGGGAAGCTATGCACCAACTCCAGCACCTCGTCTCCCCGTCAAAGCAATTTTGGAACTCCTTTTTTCTGGACTAGCCGTCAGAGCTAGCATTATACGGAGTTAGTTAAATTTGTGAACTCATCCTAAAAAAGTGATATCGCTCATTCCTCATTCCTGGATATTGCTGCAATCACCACTTTGAAGGTAGCCACGTGATACTCAGCAATGGGGTTTGTAGCACTTTTTCTATAGGATGGGTTCACGAACTTAATTGACCTTGTATATAGTTTCCTTTTGATGTATTGCATGAAGTTCTGTTAAGTTGAAGGGTAATTTATGCTGCTGTTTAGTTATGGTTCTCCTTGAAAGAGGCAGTTGTTTGTGCTTTGAAACGTTATCTGGGTCTAAGCGTCCTACGACTTTGGCAGTGTATTCTTTCACAATTGGTAAATCACTGAATTACTTTCCTTTTTTCCTGAGTATATAAGCTACTTGCTTTAAGTGGCCTTATTTCCAGGTCTTTCTGCTGCTTGAACAATTGTTCTTGTTTTGCTTTTCATAATTTAATTTCTACAGTACAACCTTGCCTACCCCTTCCTCTAATTTAAAATATTTGTGGTCCTTAGGAATGTTACAATGCTGATGAGCAATGAATTTCTTTAATGTTGGTATTGCAGCATCACAAAGCAAGCAAATCATCTTTAGCAGAAACAAGATAATATTGCAATTTGCAGTCTTCATTAAAAAAGCTATTTTCTTCCTTTAGCATCTCTTGGTTTTCTTTGACGTGATGGGCTCTTGAGCAGACAATTAAGTAATACTGTTGAGCTGTGCAGCTATTCACAGATTTCACTTCAAGCAGAAACACAGCATACTGTTATCAAAAGCTGATCATGGCTGGTGTATTTGTGTCCCCCCCCCCCCACCAAAAAAAAAAAAAAAAAAAACCCCCCCCCCCAATTAACCAGCCTTGTAGGATAGTGGTGCTGGTCAGGTGGGGGAAATTAGAACTAAATCATGAGCATAAGCAGTGGTCAATGTAGCTCTCATGGCTTAGTAATGTTCTAGTTGGTCAATCTGGGAGGATTTTTCCTTGAAGCTTACATTATTCTTTGGTATTTTCTTTCTTTTTTTTTTTTTATTTTGGCCGGGCCTGCGTTTGAACCCGCCACCTCCAGCATATGGGGATGGTCCCCTACTCCTTTGAGCCATAGGCGCTTCCCTATTCTTTGGTATTTTAAATAAATACATTTTAAAAATAGAAATAGAAAAGGCAAACAAAATTGTATTTATAAAAAGAAAAGGATTATCCTGTAAAATTTGGATTCAGTCAGAAGGGTGCACGAAGGACCTAGAAGGCCACCTACCGCCTTGAGGCTGCAGGTCCCCCACCCTTGCTCCCTGCCCTTCCCTGAGCCAGAACTACTTTTTGTTCGCTTGTGTTGGTCGTCTCACCAATCTGAGCATAGATGGTCTTGAGCACTTCTTTCCTCTACTGCTTGTCTCAGCTGTTCCTGTCTCAGAATCCTTTCCTGATAACTCTTCACCTCTTACATCTAATACTAAGATGCTCCTCTTTTGTTCTTTTGTAGTGAGCTTAAAACTGGTGAGTTACGTACCTGTTTCTGTGACTAAATCATAAACTCACTGAGAGCAAAGAGCGTATTTTACATGATTTTTGTGATTGACAACACGTTACCTGAAAATATGCCTGGAATATATATGCTGAAAGACCTCATTCAGAAAAATTGTTAAATGCCTAAAATGTAGTTTGTTTATTGACAGCTTTCTTTCCCCTCCCCACCCCTACCCTATGGTAAATTGATTTTCATACTGGAAGCTTAGGTCAGTATTTCTTATAGCATGGAGGCCAAGCCATTGTTTATTAAGTGATGAACCATTGATGGTTCAGAGGGGTCCAGGAGAAAATGAGTATGAGGTCCCCACTATTTGGCCTTGGAGGGAGAAGGGAGATACTTCAGTAGACTAATGAGGGCAGCAACCACATGGCAAAGGTAAAGGAGTGGGTAGGAGGTGAGAAAGAAGGTTGACTATTCATTTAAGAAGTTGCTTGGTCAAAGATTCTCTTTCTGTTGATTGCTTTTGTTTTTCATAATAACATGAGCCCCAAATCTGTTTGGCTGAAGAGAAGGGTATGGATTGGAGCTGGGGGAGGGAAAGGAAGTATCCTAGGAGGTGCAGCTTCAAAAAGTGTGGAAGGGTATATTTCATTTTCAAATATTTAATACTAGGAAAGGATTGTATGTACTAGTACTATGTTTTATACAAATTTCCATTAGAAATTATTTAAAATAAAGTAGAAGGAATTAAAACCTAAAAGGCCACGAGTGTTGAAATAAGGCAGCTTAGGTGTTCAGAAGAATTAACTGATATAGTCACATAAATATGTAAATATAGCAAGACTGTTTTTCTTGGAAATCCTTTATTTAATTTTCATTTTTGAAAATTCTCATTTAATATTGTTTTTCTCATGTTCTTGATATAGCATTTATATAGCCCTTTATAATTCACAAAGTGTTTATATAAATATTTATCTCATCTAGAAGGTGTCAAAAAAAGAAGTTACAACAAAGTTACTTGTAGATGTAATTAGCTTTTTTTAGCAATTCCTGAACGGGGCAGTCTCCATGCTACAAAACAAGTTGGGAGTTCCTAGTGGGAAATCCAGAACAGTGGGAGTCATAAAGTGGGGGACAAGGAAACAGAACAGGAGAAAAAAATGGATTGGCTAATCTCAGTTACTTCAGGTAACTTTTTTTTGTTAAAGCAGAGGGAACTTGACTCAGGTAAACTGGAATCTCCTGTTTGAGGATCTGCTTCCATAACGTTTCAGTTTAATTATATGACATTTAGCCTGAGTGTTGGTTCCGTCCATCTGTTGTTCCTGGTGAAAGAGCTCAGTTCAAAACAGTGGCCTCCTATAATTTTTGTTTAATAAGGCATTTGCTGCTGAAAGAGGTTAAATTACTTGTCCGAGATCTTGTTGATTTTATTAAGTATTTATTCTGTGCCAGGCAGCTTTTTAGTGCTTTGTGATATTAATTGATTTAACTCATAGATACAAAAATTGAGGCATTGTGAGATAAAGGAGCTCATTGGAAGTCAAATGTTGTCAGGTAGAGTTGGGTTTTGGACCCAGGCAGATGAGCTGCAGGATTAGCTTTTAATTATTATTATGCTGCTTTGTAGTAAATGTTGGAACAGAACTTCAAATCCAAATAGACTCTGGTAAGTGAGTTTTCTGCCATCAATTGTTTGGTAGTCCCTGGTCCCAAGGAATTGGCCTATCACCAGACTCTGAAAGTCTGTGAGTGAGTGTGGTTGTTGATAGAATTTGACTTGGATTTCTTACATTAGTCCTAGATGTTTAGGGCTTTACATTAAGTTTGTAGTAAATGTAGTTCTTTAATTTGCTAAACGCTGACTTGGAAAAGAGCAAAACCAGCCCTTTTGTCAGCTCAGAATAAAGTGTCTTTGATACTGGACTGTCCTGTGTGTCGTGATTACTGCCAGCCTGGCCTCTGCTCTTCTGTCCAAGGTCTATTATTAATTATTTATTACTTTTTTGGGGAAGGAATTTTTATTCTGCATAGACAAGAAGCCCCTGTAAATTTTGCTGGCTCAAAGTTTATATGAAACACATTTTGTCTGAAAGGATGAGTGGTTAGTTTTGCTTTGGGTAGGTAGTTGTAACTATTTCTCATTAATTGTGGGCAAGTACACAGATAAGAAAAGCAAATTAAGTTGTTTCTCATCATGTTTTCTACTGTGGCTGGAGCCTTGTGATAAAGGGCTATATAAAAGGTAAAGAAGTAGATGGAATTTAAAGCATCCAAGAATCAAGAATTAATTTATTGGAATTAACTAGAATAAGAAGAGAATTGAGTTAAATAGTTTGACTAGTAGTTAGACAGTGTAGGGAAAGTGAATTTTATGTGTTGTTGCTTTGAGGAAGAGAAGGGAATTTGTATGAGGGTTTAGAGTAGATTGGGTCATAGAGTAATTTTAAGAGCAAAGTGTGCATATAGTTAAAGATGCTTAAAGTTGTCATTAAAAGGAACCTAGACATTAATCAAGACTTAATACTTGAAAGTTAAGAAAAAAAATCAGGGCTCGGCGCCTGTGGCTCAAGTGGCTAAGGTGCCAGCCACATACACCAGTGCTGGTGGGTTCAAATCTAGCCTGGGCCCGGCAAACAACGACGACGGCTGCAACCAAAAATTAGCCAGACCTTGTGGCAGGCGCCTGTGGTCCCAGCTACTTGGGAGGCAGAGGCAGGAAAATCACTTGAGCCCAGGAGTTGGAGGTTGCTGTGAGCTGTGATGCCACAGCACTCTACCCAGGGTGACAGATTGAGGCTCTGTCTCAAAAAGAAAATCAGGTGGATAAAAAATAGGAAGAGATTGAACATATGAAAAGGAAGATGTGAAATATTGCACATAAGAAGATGAGGTAGGTAAAAAAAATAGGAAGAGATTGAACATAATGAAAGGGAAGATGTGGCATATCCCATAGCCGCTCCATTGCTCCATAGTTGACCACCTCCTGGTACATATCAGCGCAGTAGGCCTAGTTCCTTATGTTGACCACTCTATATGTTGCCCAGTTTGTTGCAGTCCCTTGAGTGGTCAGCTTACAGAGGTTCTGCTGTGTCTGAAAAGGAAAAGAGGTCCAGATTGATGTTGTAGGAAAAGAAGAGGTAAAAATTAAAGAACAGGTAAAAGCAGAACCAAGAAACTTGAGAAAAATTAATATATTAACATTGATTAAAACTTAATATATTAATTCCTTATTGAAAATCTGAAGTTGGGTAGAAATATATAACAAGAGATGGGCACTAATACTCTCTTAAGAAATTGGGTATTTTGAAGAAAAATACATTTTTCCCCTAAAAAATACTGCTGAAATATTTAAGTTTCTAAAGTATCATGTACTGTGCACGAAAAGAACTTTGAAATTGGCTGAAACTACAGAAAGATGGAGAAAAGAAAGATGAGGTTATTAGATCGTGTGATTAGATAGGAAATAAAAAATACCTTTCTTTGAGGTACATAACAAAAGCTGTCCAGGTAGATAGAGCCATTCCACTGTTTGCTAAGGTTATCAGATAACTCACTTTGCCCAGAACTGAGAGGTTTTCCAGGATGTGAGATTAAAACCTGGATGGTCCTGGGCAAGCTGGGATAAACCTTCCTGTTTACTGTCTCATTTTATAAATTTAGGGATTTAAAATAATCTTCTCCATAGACTGACTTCCTGAATTGCATACTTCTCTGTCTAGCTGTCTACTATACCTTGTTAAGAACATTCTATTAAACAGAACATTTAAAATGAAACTTACTTCTCACCTAGTTCAATGATAAGGGCAATCACGAGCCTTTCCTGAGTGATCACTTTGCGCTTAATCTTGTGTATTGTGTCATTTAGGGCTCGTTGGAGCATGAGGCAGATGGGTTTGCTCTTCCTGGTTTACTGATAGAGAAAACGAGCCATGGAAAGGTTAACTTTGTCACATAGCTCTTAAGTGGCAGAATGAGAAATAAAATCCAAATAATGTTACTCCTCTTCACCCTGTTCTAAGTTTGGAGCTGTCATCCATCCATATAGTGAAGTGGGAAATTTCAGTTGTTCAGATTCTTTTTTCTTTTTCCTTGTAACACCCCAGCTGTCCTGTAATCATCTGGTCAAGGATCTTATGTCTGTTCTAGTTAATTTCTTCTTACTTCCGGAGCTTCAATTCAGTTGAACTCACTATCTTAAAACAAACCCCCATAGCTGCTAAAGTTATTTTTCCAAAATGCAATTTTCATTATTGAAACCTTTTAGTAGCTCTCAGTTCTCTTCAGGATAAACTTTAAAGTACTATGCGTGGTGTATTTAGAGCACCACGTGAACTGTTCATCGATCCTGTGTGGTTTAAACCTTCTCTGTTTGCCTTAGCACGTCACACAGTCCTTGGGTTCTCTTGTCCACCCATACAACAATTCTGTCTGTGCCATATTTTATCTCTAATTCTTTGTTGAAAAAATTAGACTTCAAGATGCATTTCACTCAAAGATTATCTTCTCTGTAAACACTTTCCTGATTCCCGGAGGTTGGATTATCTACTTTTTCTTGTGTTCCCCAGATGTACTACTCTATGTTTTGCGTCTATTTTGGTAATTATCATACTAAAAGCTGTTTATCTGTTCGCAGGGTTGTCTCCTCACCAGACTATGAGCTCCTTGAAAGAGGAAACTGTGTCTCACTCATCTTTGTATCCCCAGTGTGTAGCATTGTTCCTGATACATTGTAAGTCATGAGCAGTAAAGTAACACTATGCTTACTAGTCGGATATTGTACCTGTTGATAGTTAATTGTATAGCCCATGTAATATATTATAAAAATATGGCTATAGACTACTTTCATGGCTTACTATTGTTGCCTCTTAGATGGACATAGTTCCTCCCTACTCACGCAGCATTACTGTAATGCACAGATTAATGACTACATATATAAACACATATATGTATAGGGATATAATGGTATGTTATATTTTAAGTGCCACACAGCTTTGTTATTAAATGAAGTATGTGGAGCATGCCATTTGTAAGTCAGTAATAAAACCAAACATTTGTGAATTATCCACTCAGCCTAACAACTAAGTGAGTTAGCCTAATTCATTTGACTACGTTTCTACCATTTGAATATTTTTCAGTTTTTTCGGTTATTATGAAGAATGCTCATATCTGGTACACAAGGTTTTGTGATGAAATTCAGAATTGCTTATTGAAAGGCATGCAAATGTTTAACTTTACATAATAATGCCAATTTGTTTTCCAGCAAAACACCTACCAGCAGTATATAAGAGTCACCTCTGGTCTGTGTTTTTTGCCATTATTTGGTATAGAAATTTTTAGTTTTTTTCATTCAAATGAGTTTTAAAATAACATTTCATGTGGTTAAAAGTTGCCTTTTTCTGATGGGCATTGAGGTTCTACATCTTTTCATATGATTTGTAGGCCTTACAAGTTTCTTTGTCTATAAAATTTCAGTGAAGGTTTTTGTCCAGTTGCCCACTATGTTGTTTTTTTGTTATTATTTGTAGACATTCTTATAATATAGTAATTTAAATATTCACCTTTAATTCGTTTTTTTTTATTTTGAGCTATTTCCTAGTATGTTGCTTATCTTCTAATTTTTTTAATGATGTTTTATGATAAACAGAAGTTTTTAGTTTTATATAGTTAGAATATCTGCTGATTTTTCTTATTTGGTTACTATTCTTTGTTTCTCTTTTAAGAAATGTTTTTACGGCTCAGCACCTGTGGCTCAAATGGCTAAGGCGCCTAAGGTGACGGGTTCAAATCCAGCCTGGGCCCACCAAACAACAATGATGGCTGCAACCAAAAAATAGCTGGGCATTGTGGTGGGCGCCTGTGGTCCCAGCTACTTGGGAGGCAGAGGCAGGAGACTCGCTTGAGCCTGGGACTTGCAGGTTGCTGTGAGCTGTGGTGCCACGGCACTCTACCCAGGAGGATAGCTTGAGGCTCTGTCTCAAAAAAAAAAAAAGAAATCTTTTTATCCTGAGAAGACACAAAACAGTAATTTTCTGCTTTAATTTTAATGTTTTTTGTCATATTTATATCATTAGTGCTCTTGTATTGGTTTTACGTATGATGTGAGGTAGGGTTCACCTTTTTTCTCCTTTTAGATCCAGGACCGTTTAGTTGTCTTTTCTTTCTCATGGATCTGTGTGGCTACACCTGTTACGTGGGAACTCCTTGCCTTTCCTGGTCTAGTGTAGGGCTTCCTATTTTGTTTCATGTTTCCCCCTTTAGGGTTTTCTAAGAACTAGTTTCCGACTTTGTTGATCCTTTCTCTTAACTTTGTTTTCTACTTCACTGGGTTCTGCTCTTTAATCTTGTTTCCTTTCTTTTCTTTGGGTTTATTTTATTATTCTGTTTCTAACTTACTAGATTAATCTATCAGTGCATCAGTTATCAACCTTTCTTTTCCCAGTATAAGTCTTTAAGGCTATAAAATTGCCACTAAGTAAATTTTTTTGCATCCGGCACGTTTTATATGTGGTATTTTATTATTTAGTTACTAGTGTTTATTTATTTATTTTTTATTTTTTGCAGGTTTTGGCCGGGGCTGGGTTTGAACCCGCGACCTCTGGTATAGGGCTGGTTCCCTACTCCTTTGAGCCACAGGCGCTGCCCACAGTATTTTTAAAAAAATGTCCAATGTAGTTTCTTTTAACCCATGAAAGTTAAAAAAACCCAGAAGTGTTTTTTAAATTCTGCTAGCATTTAAAAAAATTTATCTTTCGTTAATGATTTTTAATGTAATTGTATTATGGTCAGGTACTCAGAACATTATTTGAAATTCTATGAGATTTTCATTATCTTTCAGTGTGTGTGTTGTTTTTTTGGTATATCCTATGAGTGTTTCAGAAAAACGTTTATGTTCTAATAGTGAGTGTTCTAATAATAGGGTCTGGTGAGGTTATTAAATGATGCTTTTTTCTTATTTTTTGTCCATTTGACCTATGATTAATTGGGATGTATCAAAATTGTCCACGACAGTGACCAATTTCTTGATTTCTTCTATAGTCTTACCATCTTTTTAAGCTCCCCACCCCAAGCACCTGAGATAGAGATTTGATTTTCTTTGAATGTTCCAGTGTAGAGGCAGACTAGAAGAAAGCATAGGATACAAACATATATTTGGTGTCTCCCCCCCTCACTGTCAACTGAGAGAGGAGCAGATTTACAGTACTGAACTTACAGGCTGGATTTTCTTCAGGGTTCTGTAGCTCAGGTGCAGATCTGGAGTCTTTTTTGTTTTGTTTTGAGACAGCCTCAAGCTGTCACCCTGAGTAGAGTGTTGGAGCATTATAGCTCACAGCAACCTCCAACTCCTGGGCTTAAGTGATTCTCTTGCCTCGGCCTCCCAAGTAGCTGGGACTACAGGCGCCTGCCATACCACCTGGCTATTTTTGGGTTGTAGTTGTCATTGTTGTTTGGCGGGTCTGGGCTGGATTTGAACCCGCCAGCTCTGGTGTATGTGGCTGGCACCTTAGTTGCTTGAGGTACAGGCGCCACGCCAGGTCTGGAGTCTTGATCCTTCCGTTCAGACTCCTTTCATGGTCTTTGTTCTCTCCACCCACTAGACCACACTGAAGCTTACTTTCCCTTTTTGGGACACTTACCGATTACTTTATTTTCATCTTTATTTACTTGCTGATTCTTCCTGAGATGATGGAGCTGGAGCGACTTTCCTCCCACTGCTTGCAGGGGTTTGCTGCTCCCTGTCAGAGTGCTGAGTTCAAGCAGAAGGATGAAAACTTTGCTTCACCCAACCACTGTCTTTGTGGAGGAGCAGCATTGCCTCCAGCAGCAGCTGAGAATTTGGGAGGCAATTGTGAGGCTAGTGACAGTCATCCACCTTACTGAGAGTTTCATTCTCTGGAGATGACTTTCTTTCATTTATGCAGCCGAGTCTGACCCTGCCAGGAGTGGCTGAGGTCCACGTCTGAGGTGACTCACTTCTGTCCTTGACATTTCTTTACTTTGTTGTTTGTGTCTCTCCTGAGGCTGTTTTCCTTGTTCTGGTTCTTCTGGCTGACATCACAGTTTCTCTTGTTCCTTCTGTAGCTCTTTTATTGGTTCTTTTCTTGTGGCTGGATCAACAGGCTCTTTACTTCCAAAGATAGAAGCTGCTCAGGTGGACTGGGAGGGGCCAGCAGAGGAGTCATGTTTCTTAGGCGTATCTGATGCTTTAGATTCAATTTGGATCTGTGTGTGGGGATCACCATCATCACTGTTAAAATCATCCTAAGAATAATCTTCTCTGGCGCTCCACAACACTGCTGTCCCCCCTCCCTTACTGGTCTCCGTGTGCTGTGTGCTTCATCTGCAGTCATTACTCCCGTGCTCTCCACTACCAGATGCCTTTCTTGGGGTCACAGTCTCTATCACGGTCTCTGCTGCCTTCATCATTTTAGCAGTCCTGGTGTCCATCGTAATCATGGCACTTGACTTCAAAGTGACCTTCTCCTCTTATAGGTGGATGGGTAGTCATCAAAGCTGTTTGTGGCGGGGTAGACTTGCTGTTTTGTCACAATCTTGATTTCTGTCTCCACCAAAGGAACAATCACTCTGTCTTTATCCTATGTACAGTCAGCAACAGCCACTCATTTTGACTCCTCCCTGTGGCTCAGGGCATTGAACAGGAAATCCAGGTCCTTAGACATCACATAATCAAAGCCTTTGAAAATCTCTGTGGGTTGCTGGGTTGATGGGGTAAATGCACTGACATTTAATCCTCTATAAGGAGTTTCTTAATGGAGCTTTTTTTTTTTTTTTTAGAGACAGAGTCTTATTTTATCGCCCTCATTAGAGTGCTGTGGCATCACACAGCTCACAGCAACCTCCAAATCCTGGGCTTAGGCAATTCTCTTGCCTCAGCCTCCTGAGTAGCTGGGACTACAGTTGCCCGCCACAACTCCTGGCTCCTTAATGGAGCTTTTTATCACATCACCAGCCGGGCTCCCTAGAAAAGCAGTGTCTAGTGGCAATTTGGAAAGATAGCTCTGGTTGATAGTGGATTCCCGAGCAGCTGGTGGCACAGTGGGTGGGATGCAGTGGTCAGTTGGAGATGCCCTGGACACATTGTCGTCATTGCTGTGCCCACTGGTTAAAGCACCTCCTTTCCAGGTCCTCTGGTTCATCACTTCAGCTGACTAGTTTGGGGACATAGATACTTCTTCACCACTACTATGGTACTCAGCTAGGGACTCTGTTAGGAAGAGAACACAACTACTTTTTTTTTTTTAACAGAGGCTGCCATGTTGGGGGGGAGAGAGAGGATAGGAAGTTAGGCATGTTTTTAAAGCATGTGAATTTAAGGTTTCGTGTCCACTCTTACTGATGTGAACATTTTCTTTTTCTCCTTAGTGATGTTTTGTCTGGTATTATAACTAATTTGGCTTTCTTTTTGTTTGTGTTTGTCTGCTGTGTCCTTTCCCTTAGTTTTGCTTTCATTTTGTCTACATGTTTATTTCTTATTCCTACGTGTTTTCTGATAGTCTTGGTTATTTATGTTTTACTTTTCTCTCTTTCCTTTCTATCCTTTTTTGGATTGATTGAGTTTATTTATTCTCTTTTCTCTGCTGGTTTGGGAATTACACCGTGTTATTTCTTTTCCTTTACGACATCTACCAGGAATTCTGTACAGTCTGTCTTCGTCCTCTCTGCCCTGTCCCTCTCTATTCTATGCTGTCTTCAGTTCTGTATTTTAGTGTTGGCAGTGTTTTTATTTAAACCTCATAATGCTGTGTTACTGTTATTTTATTCTGCCGGCGTTTATTTGCGTTTGGTTGTATGCTCAGCGGTTTCTTCACTCATCTTCCCTTCTGTGTCTCAGATCAGCGTTCCCTGGTAATTTTACTTTTATGTAACAAGTCCTTTAGATTTTTTTGAAGTAAAGGTGTCCTGTTGATAAACTGTTTTTATGGTTTATCTGGCAGTGTTTTAATGCTTTTCATGTCCTCCAAAGAATTTTGATGAGAGGCTGGGTGCGGTGGCTCTGTAATCCCAGCACTCTGGGAGGCCAAGGTGAGCTGGTCTCCTGAGCTCAGAGTTGAAGACAAGCCTGAGCAAGAGCGAGACCCCGTCTGTAAAATACTAGCCAGGTGTGGTGGCAAGCACTGTAGTCCCAGCTGCTTGGGGGCTAAGGCAAGTGAATCGCTTGAGCCCAAGAGCTTGAGGTTGCTGTGAGCTGTGATACCATGGTGTTCTATTGAAGGCGGCAAAGTGAAACTGTCTCAAAAAAAAAAAAAAGAATTTTGGTGATTATGTAATTTTTAATTTTCTCAGTTCCTTATAGATATTTGTTCTACCTTTTATACTTTCATTGTTACTGCTATTATTTTACTCTGTTCTTTTGCATGTAATCTCTCTTCTCTCTGGCTGCTTGTAACTTGGTCTCCGTTGCTGGTTTTCTGCAGTTTTAACTGCTCTGTTTATAAGTGTGAATTTCTTTGTACTTATCCTGCTTCCTTTACATACGCAGTAGGACCTCTGTAAGTTGACCACCCACAGGACTAAAAGGCTGATCAATCTACTGAGGTGGTCAACATAAAGAACGAGGCCAGCTGTACTGAGACACATACATGGTACATTACTGGTTGAGTTCATCAACTTGAGGTGGTCGACTGTGTTCTGCTATATTGTGTTTCCTAGAGTTGGGGATAGCTGTCTGTCTTTGATTCTAAAATTAAGTCATTTTCTCTCCTTGCCTGACCTTCTTTCTTCATTTTCTGGGATTCTGAGTAGAAATACATGGCAGGTCTCATCTTGTCCTTCAGGTTTTCCAACATCTGTTTGGTATTTTCAGTTTGTTTACTTTGGTGTTACTTCTAAATTATTTTTTCTGATTTATATTTAAGTTTACTGGTACTCTCAAGTTCTGTCTTAATTTTAAAATATTTAGGTATCATACTTTTTCATTTTAAAAATTCTCTTCTGGAGGAATAATTCACATAGATACTTCGTCTGCAAGGAAGGGGAGCATCACACCCCCTCATTCAGTGTAGTCTGCTCATGGCGATTTCCTCCTGAAGAGTCCAGTGTAGCGGAAGGGGAAAGAGTAACTTCACAGCCCTGGAATCCGACAAACGTCGCCTCCGCCACAGGATCAAAGTCAGCGTCAAGTCATACACTGTCTTGATAGCATGTCCCCTGGGTGCACTGTGATGAAAATAGCATTTTACATCTGTAGTGTTTGTCCCCAAACCAAGAGCCCAAATTTAATGAGAAAAGCAAGAGATAGGCTCGGCGCCTATAGCTCAACCGGCTAAGGCGCCAGCCACGTACACCTAAGGTGGCGGGTTCGAATCCCCAGCCCGGACCCGCCAAACAACAATGACGGCTGCAACCAAAAAATAGCCGGGCGTTGTGGCGGGCGCCTGTGGTCCCAGCTACTTGGGAGGCGGAGGCAGGAGACTCGCTTGAGCCCGGGAGTTGGAGGTTGCTGTGAGCTGTAATGCCACGGCACTCTACCCAGGGGGACAGCTTGAGGCTCTGTCTCAAAAAAAAAAAAAAAAAAAAAGAAAAGCAAGAGATAGATCCCACTTGAAGGATATTTTACAAAAGACCCAAAGAGTACTCCTCAGAACTGTCCCAGTTATCAGAAATGAGGAAAGTCTTGAAGAAACTGTCACAGCCTAGAGAAACGTAAGAAAACTTGATAATTAAATAATATACTGATACTGGTTCATTTATTTTGACACGTAAGATAGTAAAGTAAGATGTTAATAATAGGGAAACCTGGGTGTGGAGTATATGAGAATACACTATTTTTGTGTAAATTTAAACTATTCTAAAATTATATATATATATATATTTATTTTATTTTTTTTGGACCCAGAGTCTCACTGTGTCGCCCTCAGTAGAGTGCTGTGGTGTCACAGCTTATAGCAAACTCCAATGCTTGGGCTTAAGCGATTCTCTTGCCTCAGCCTCCCAAGTAGCTGGGACTATAGGCACCCACCATTAACACCCAGTTATTTTTTGTTGTTGTTGCAGTTGTCATTGTTGTTTAGCTGGCCTGGGCTGGGTTCGACTCCGCCAGCCTGGGTGTATGTGCCCAGCACCCTACCCACTGAGCTACAGGCACTGCCCTAAAATAAAATATTAAAACATTTTATGTAGTTATTTTTAAAATAGACAATGTCTTTTTTTTCTTTTTTTGCAGTTTTTGGCCGTGGCTGGGTTTGAACCTGCTACCTCCAGCATGTGGGGCCAGCGCCCTACTCTTTTGAGCCACAGCCACCGCCCAACAATGTCATTTTTTAGTTTTTCTTCTTGCTTGGCCATGTTCAATCATGTTTAATTTTACCTTTTGTCTTTTAAGAACTAAAACTAGGTTTTAAAAGTTTGTATTTGAGGCTGGGTGCTGTGACTCAAGCCTGTAATCTTCAGTACTTCAGGAGGCTGAGATGAGAGGATCACTTGAGGCCAGGAGTTCTAGACCAGCCTGAGAAAGACCTCATTTCTGCAAAAGTTAGAAAAATTAGCTGGGTGTCATGGTGGGCCCCTGTAGTCCCAACTATTTGGGAGGCTGAGGATTGCTGGAGCCCAGAAGTTTGAGGTTGCAGTGAACTATAATGATGCTGTTGTATTTTCACCAGGGTTGCAGAGCAAGACTCTGTCTCTAAAAAGGGATGTGGATATATGTGGTATATAATATTTAAAGTTCTTAGAGATCAGAATCTGTGTGTGTGGTGTGTCTCTGTGTGTGTCTGCTTACTCTCAGTCACGGTAGCTTATTTTTTTATAAGTTTGATTTTTTTAATTAGTGTCTCACATTTGGCTGTACTTTATCTTAGATAATCCCAATGGCTTAAATTAATATTCACACACATGCACACATTCAGACACAATATATGTAATTATAAATAAGTGAAGAGCGTGTAATGATTTTAGAATATTAAATCCCTGAATTTGTGGGATCTAAATGGAACATAGAAAAGACTACAAATAGATAAATAAGATAAACATTAACATTCATTAACATTTTTCAGTTTTCCTCAGACTATTCTGTTTTACTTTAGGAGGTTAAGGGTGGATAGAATTTGAGCCTTGAGATAACCGATACTGTATATAAGCATGGACTAGATAACTGCATTTAAAATATTTTGATAAGGGGCATTGTTTGGACAGTTGATGAAAATAGAATATGGGTTGTAGATTAGATAATGATATACTGCTAAAATTGCTGAATTTGATCATTGCACTGTGGTTATTTAAGAGAATATTTTTATTATGAAATGAACACTCAAGGATTTAAGGGTGAAGGGGCAATACTCATGTGTTCAGATAATAAGTATATGGTACATAATATAATAACTATATATTATTTTATTAAAAAAGCAATGTGTGGCCCTGGATTCTTAGTATGTTATCATTTATTTTGTTGCTCAAATTGACTCACATGTGGTTTATTGGCTGTATTCTTTGATACTGTTCATAATAAGTCTTACTTTTAAATGGATAACAACTCTGGACTTGTCAATTTATCGTGGGTTGAAAATAGGTGTTGTTTCTTAGTTGATTCAGAAAATTTTGATCATCTTGAAAATTATAATCTCTTTTTTTTTTTTT